GAGTTTTGTTGTTATAAATTAATGGTTGGTTTAGTGATGTTAATATTTTTGACTTGGGAAAAAAAAAAGTTAATTTCGATGCTACTATTTTTATTTGTGGCAATACAGTAGGTCCACTGAATTTCTTTTTAGAAATGTGTAGAGTGTACACGGCCTGCAAGCGTTTGAGCTTCATGCATCTTGTTGAGCGGAGGAGGTGTGCTGTTCTATTCTAAGCGACTGGACTTGCGTTTGTGCACCTGTCGGATGATAAAACAGGTGAAAAAATCCAGCAGTAGTTGGTCGTCTGGCATTTTCACCCCAGCAGGAACCAATTAGTGGAGTGTTACTGTTGGAGTGGCGCTCTGGTTAATCGCTCCACCGCCAGCTGCTACGCCAGCGGCCCCCACCTCCGGAATCAGACCCGTCCACGGCCAGAGAGACAGGGACGGACAGATGGAGACGAGGATGAGGCTTCATATATAATTTACACGTTCCCTGGAAAAGCATGCTGAGACTCAGGTCAATGGATGGACGGATAGAAAGATCGACTCCAGTAAGGAAAGATGCAGTCCGTTGTGGAACTGGATTCCCAAACGAGTCTGAAGCTCATAAATATGCATGAGGGCTCCACATGAACGTTTTTATCAGACCTTAGCGCTTAACCTTACTGTAAACCACCAACCAATCAGATCAACTCATGCTGTGTTCAATAAACACTCATTTAATGTCAAGTCCAACATTCGCTTCTTAGGCAGTCTTGGATTTGGAAGTACTTTTCCATCAAGAGCAAAGGTGGAGTGTGTTGTTTTGATGACAAAAAGGCATTTTTGGACATGCATTGTCAGGTTTTTGGGTAGAGGAATGAATTATGAATTAAATGATTTATGAAATCTTGATGACTTCATATCACCATAGTATGAGAAGGAAATTAAAAACGTTTCAGTGTGTTAGTTTAAATAACATGGCAAGACACACTTAAGTTGTTATTGGTTTTTCACAGCCATATGTTGTGTGTAGTTGTATGAGAACTAAATAATTAATAAATTCATATTTATGAATGCTTACTTTTCATTCACTACATTCCAAAGCATAATATCTGACTTTTTAGTCTATTTAATTTGAAGAAAAACATGCTTTTTCTTGATGCATTACAGAAACTTTCTTTCAGCAGTTTGAAACATTAACATGGCTTTCCCTTTACTAAAAAACATAAAATAACACTTAATTTCAACATTTATTCTCCATATCCAGTCATCTTCTCTGAGACCAGATAGCATGTCCATTTTGAGCCCATTCTTTTTAATGAACTGGTTTACAAATCACATTTAATGATTCATTTGTGAATTTAGTAGATTAAACTTTCAGGAGTTACCCAGAAAATATGTTCTAAGAATGTTCTCATTAAGTTATGAAAACGTTATTTAATTTATTAAATGTTTTAAAAACTTAAAAAAAAATAAAAAATACAGTAATGTTAAGGAAACATTGCATTTTATAATTTTGCAAACATTGCGGAAACATTACTTTTGAACATTCTGAAACAAGTAGTAACATTTAAAAAACGTTCAACTAAAGTATTTCAGAAAAAAAAAATCATGTTTTTGTGAAAGTTATTGTTTTCTAATGTTTTGAGAACATTTGAGAACGTTTGTTCATAACTATGAGAGAACCTTGTCAGAACATTCTGGAAACATTCCTTGTTATTAGGGTAATAACTCAGTGATTCAATAATATGGACATAGCAAGTCAGGTTAACAATAAACACCTAAATTGATCTCATGCACAATAAAACCTGTTTCTTTCGCTGAAAAAAAAAATGCACAAGTTGACAATTTGTCGGTAAAGTCTGCACCATCAGTGTTGATATTATTGATTAATAGGCTGCACTCACAGTTTGTTGCGCCGTCCTCTATAATCCGTCTCTATATGCTCAGCATTGAACCGGAGGCTTCATTAGGTGCACAGGGGAGTATGTGCTATTAAACGAGGTTAATCAGTGCTATCGATTCACGGTTAAACAAAACAGACAGAAGGTGCATTAATGTCCTAGGAGTCTTTTGCTAATGATGGCGACTTTGTTCTTGCCATTATTATCTAATTGGCCTAATAAGGCCTTGTCCATTGTGGCCAGGATGTAGGTGTGTGTGTGTGTGTGTGTGTTACATTTGCTCTTTCCAAACATGTCTAGAGCCCCCTGCAGGTCATGTTTGGCATATGTTTAACATGACCACATGCACTGCCTTCCACTTATTTTTATAAATAGAAAGTGAAATAGCAAGCAATGTGCAATGCTGAACAGCTGTATGCTAACATTAATTCATTGAGTGGGATCAGTTGTTATCTCAAATATACTATCGTTCAAAAGTTTGTGGTCAGAAAGACTTACAAAAAATTAATAGTTTTATTCAGCAAGGATACATTTAATTGATCAAAAGTGACGGTAAAGACAGTTATGATGTTATAAAAGCTTTCTATTTCAAATAAATGCTGTTTTTTTGAACTTTCTGTTCATCAAAGAATCCTGAAAAATAAAATGTATCACAGTTTGCACAAACATATGAAGCAGCACAACTGTTTTCAACATTGATAAACTTTTGAATGGCAGTGTGTAAATGTTTATTTCATTTGTTATACAATATTGTGACATTTGGAAGCCCAATAAAATAATTAGTCACAAATGAGATATTAAAAACCATAGCTGATTTGGGAGTTGGGAGCATGTCAGTAAGGAAACATGTCATGCAATGGATGCAGCATCTGTATTAATGGTAAATTTGTTCAAATTATTGTTATGTTTTTGTAAATTTGCAATAAAACTAAATTGTTTGGACAAAATACCATATTACTGTACAATTACAACAGAATATATGTGACCATGGACAACAAAACCAGTCATAAGGGTCGATTTTTTAAAATTGAGATTTATACATTATCTGAAAGCTGAATAAATAAGCTTTCCGTTGATGTATGGTTTGTTAGGATAGGACAATATTTGGCCGAGTGCGATTAATATTTGAGGGTGCAAAAAAATAAAAATATTGAGAAAATCGCCTTTAAAATTGTCCAAATGAAGTCCTTAGCAATGCATATTACTAATGATAATATATTTTTGATATATTTACGGTAGGAAATTTACAAAATTTCTTCATGGAACATGATCTTTACTTAATATCCTAATGATTTTTGGCATAAAAGAAAAATCTATCATTTTGACCCATACAATGAATTGTTATTGGCTATTGCTACAAATATACCCGTGCTACTTAAGACTGGTTTTGTGCTCCAGAGTTACATATGATGATTCAATTTACAGCACCTTCACAAGTTGAATAGAAACATAAAAAAGCAAAAACACACCCGATGCACATTCATTATTCATCATTTTGTAGATATAGAGTTGAAAAATCTTACTCCAACCAAACTGATTTGAACGCACCTGAGGTCATATTCCACGAAAAAACATAGAAATTCATTTTTATCTTGTGTGTGTGTGTGTGTGTGTGTGCATATGTTGGAATGGATTTGAAACAGCAGCATTATCTCCAGCACAAACTTTTATAGCAGGACAGTTTGGCTTCTACACAAACACGCACATCATCTTCCTCATGTGCCGCTGTGTGCAGCTGCTCTGGGCAGAGGCTGATAACACCTGCTATTGTGATGCCATGCATTACCAGCTGAACTGAATGCACAATGGTTGCCCCTGGTTACACCAGCCTACTTTAACCAGACAGCAGGTGCAGGTTTCATGTGCTGCTGTGTTAAGACCCTTTCACATGACTTACATCAACACACCTCGACATACGGGTCATGTGCTGCTTTGACCTGTGTGTGAAAACCTGCTCAGTTCCAAAATCTAGTTAGCTGCCCTGCTGTCTGCTGCCTACATAGTGAGCATGCTGACTAAAATGGAGCTGTGTACATCATTGTGAAATGCGCAGTTGAATTTATTGGTATTATGTTGGTAAGCTGCTGTAATGCATAAAACTGCACAGCACACAGAAATATTGGGGAACATTGTCATTATTTAAACTACATTTACACTACAAATAATTAAGTACAAGTCACTTCTGTTCACCAAGGCTGCATTTATTTGATCCAAAATACAGTAAAAACAGTAAAATTGGGAAATATTATTACAATTTAAATGTTGGAATGATTTCTGAAGGATCATGGACACTGAAGACTGGGGTAATGATGCTGAAAATTCAGCTTTGATCACAGGAATTTAAAAATATATTCAAATAGAAAACAATGATTAAAAATTGTAATAATATTTCACAATATTTCAGTTTTTACTGTATGTTTTATTAAATTAACGCGTTGAGCAAAAGAGACTTAATTATTCCAAACTTTTGAGTGGTAGTGTAACTATTGCAGTGCTTTTGGGTATTTTTATACTAATAAGTGATAATTTCCTGCATACTTCTCTTCATATGTTTGATTGATTTTTTCACTCAGCTTGTTGCTGGAGCACGTCTGTGATGCCTCAACATGTTTCCTACATAGGCAACTCACTAGGTTTTGGAACTAGATTTCAGTTCCATCTCTTTTTGCACAGTATGGGTTCAAATGTTATCAAGTGCACACTGTCGTTTGAGTGTGCTGACTGTCAAGTCACTTTGCCACCCACAGATTTCTGCATCGTGACATTGCTCTGGTCCGGCACCCCCTGCAGGCAGCTGTGCACCTCTGGAATCACATTACAGCCAAACTGTGTGGCACGACAGCCACACACACACGCACACTTCGGTAATCTTGTTTACCGTAGTTTTCTCTGGAGAAAACGAGAATGGCCCGTTTAATATCCAAACCCTTGGCGGGGCTGAATGTTTCCATGCTGCATTTATTTACGCATTTTTAGCACATCTCTGAAAGTGGCGAGATTAAAACTAGACTTTTACACTTTCTGAAGAAAATGAATGGTGACCCGTGCAAATGTTTTTCTGGGTGGTAGCTGACAGGGTTAATTATAGTGGATTGGCTCCTTCCTTTAATGCTTTCATTTTTGTCTGCAGGTATTCCGAAGAAGAAATCCGACAGAAGGTTGGAACGTTTCGGCAGATGCTGATGGAGAAGGAGGGTGTGATAACTCGAGAAGGCTTGCACCCACGTCCACCGTGAGTCAATCACACATGATGTGTGTCAGACAGTAAATGAGCAAACGATTGATCTGCTCTGATCTTATCTTCCAAACGTAATTGAATATAGTGTGTGTTTCCTAGAGACAGTATTGGATAGCATTTGTGTGCGTGATTAATGATAACGCTGACCAGCACTGATAGAAACCATCCATAATACAAATCTCAGTGCCAGTGAATTGATAGTGGATGTTTAATAGATAAATGTACATGAAATACATTTACTAGAACTAGAAACACCCTTATTTATGTAACTGGCTGGAAAACCATTTAGCTAAATAATGCAATGCAAAAATGCTTCACAGGGATTGAAATAAATTTTTCTTTCTGGTTCATTTACACCAACTGTCTGAATAAACTGATTCACTAAAATGAATCTTTGGGAAATGCCTACTCCATTTATTATCTGCCGACGAACACAGAAACGTTATAGCACTAATGCATCAAAATGAAGAGCAAATGATGAAGGTTAGAGGCTTTAGCTATATTGTGTATTTTATAATCTCATGTTGCCATGGAGGATAATGGGAAATGTAGCTTTGCTGCCTAGCATAAAGACAAGTCATAACGTTGGCTTACATGAAGTCATGTTGAAATAGGTTCCGAAATAAAATGCCACATATAGGCCTAATGTGTTTGCTTCAGCCGTACACATACAAACTTTCTTAGCTTGTGGGTGCAGGTCCTTTATCAGAAGCAGAAGGAGATGATCATGATTTAATACTCTTTACAGATCACAAATGACCCTGTGTTAATGCCGTAGCACAGCCCCAAGGAAACCTCAGCAACCATACATTACCTCCTTCACCCAGAGACCAATCTAATTAAAAAATCCTTTTCATCTTAAATCTAACCTCCTTTTTCTGGCCATTCTGTCCACAAGAATTCAGAGTCTGAGCCATTGTAGCTCTATCAACACAACATCTTAGAAACCTTCTGTTCTTCCAGAGGACCATTATATTGCCATTTTACCCTTCTGTTTTATCACAGGACCCTTATGTTGTGATTTAACCCTTGTGTTCCATCATAGGACCCTTCCAGTATGTTGTCATTTAACCCTTCTGTTCTGTCACAGAACCCTTATGTTATCGTTTAACCCTTCTATTTCATCACAGGGCCCTTATGTTGTCATGTAACCGTTCTGTTCTGTCACAGAACCCTTCCAGTATGTTGTCATATAACCCTTCTTTTCTGTCACAGAACCCTAATTTTGTCATTTAACCCTTCTGTTTAATCACAGGAATCTTATGTTCTTTTCTGTCACAGAACCCTAATTTTATCATTTAACCCTTCTGTTTCATCACAGGGCCCTTATGTTGTCATTTAACCGTTCTGTTCTGTCACAGAACCCTTACATTATCATTTAACCCTTCTGTTTAATCACAGGATCCTTATGTTTTGATTTAACCCTTCTGTTCCTTCATAGGACATTTCCAGTATGTTGTCATTTAACCCTTCTTTTCTGTCACAGAACCCTTATGTTATCATTTAACCCTTCTATTTCATCACAGGGCTCTTATGTTGTCATTTAACCGTTCTATTCTGTCACAGAACCCTTATATTATCATTTAACCCTTCTGTTTAATCACAGGATCCTTATGTTTTGATTTAACCCTTCTGTTCCTTCATAGGACATTTCCAGTATGTTGTCATTTAACCCTTCTTTTCTGTCACAGAACCCTTATGTTATCATTTAACCCTTCTATTTCATCACAGGGCCCTTATGTTGTCATTTAACCGTTCTGTTCTGTCACAGAACCCTTACATTATCATTTAACCCTTCTGTTTAATCACAGGATCCTTATGTTTTGATTTAACCCTTCTGTTCCTTCATAGGACATTTCCAGTATGTTGTCATTTAACCCTTCTTTTCTGTCACAGAACCCTTATGTTATCATTTAACCCTTCTATTTCATCACAGGGCCCTTATGTTGTCATTTAACCATTCTGTTCTGTCACAGAACCCTTACATTATCATTTAACCCTTCTGTTTAATCACAGGATCCTTATGTTTTGATTTAACCCTTCTGTTCCATCATAGGACCCTTCCAGTATGTTGTAATTTAACCCTTATTTTCCGTCACAGAACCCTTCCAGTATGTTGTCATTGAACCCTTCTTTTCTATCACAGAACCCTAATTTTGTCATTTAACCATTCTGTTCTGTCACAGAACCCTTATATTATCATTTAACCGTTCTGTTCCATCATAGGACCCTTCCAGTATGTTGTCATTTAACCCTTCTTTTCTGTCACATAACCCTAATTTTGTCGTTTAACCCTTCTTTTTCATCACAAGATCCTTATGTTTTGATTTAACCCTTCTGTTCCATCATAGGACCCTTTCATTATGTTGTCATTTAACCCTTCTTTTCTGTCACAGAACCCTAATTTTATCATTTAACCCTTCTGTTTCATCACAGGGCCCTTATGTTGTCTTTTAACCATTCTGTTCCATCATAGGACCCTTCAAGTATGTTGTCATTTATCCCTTCTCTTATGTCACAGAATCCGTATCATTTAACCCATCTGTTTCATCACTGGGCCTTTATGTTGTCATTTAACCCTTCTGTTCCATCACATAACCCTTATGTTGTCTTTTAACCCTTCTTTTTAAATTTTTATTTAACCTTTATTTAACCAGAAAATAAAAACTCTTGAGATTTAACATTTAGAGGGTCCTGGCCAAGACAGGCAGCACACATAGTTAAACATAAAAACATTTAAACAAATCAAAATGCATTAATTCACATAAACAATACACATCAATCAAAGTACAAGTACAACTGAGTAAATCCAAGACAAAATCATTTAAAATGCACAAGAGGCAAAATTTAGCTGGTTTCAGATGGTGCAGAATTACTAAACACCCTTTTACCCATATTTGTACACATTTTCTTTTATGTCATAGGACTGTCAGGCTGTTTATAAAAGCACGTTTGCAGAAGCAGGATGGTGACATTTACCACTGTGATGAAGAAGCTGGTCATTATAGCTTTAGATAAGATCTCCTGTAGTAGTGAAATGCTAATTTTAATTGATCAAGACACGTTAGGAAGGATAATGAGGATAAGTTAAGGCTTTATAATGAGGGAGATAGATTATAAAAAGTGAGTGTGACAGAAAAATAGATCTGTTAGTACCTTACCAGGAATTCCTGTAAAAGCTGGCACCCTCATTATTATCACCCTTTTCTGTTTCTAAGAAATATTTCTTAGAAGAGAGTTTCTTATTGGTTTTAGAAATTATTGGTAGGGTAAATAAATAGATGTTGACTTCACCCAGATAAAAATGTTTTTACTCACAGGTTGCTCTTTCATAGATCAGCTTTGTCTCAGATGTTTCTTGTAAATCCCTTAGGAAAAATAAAATTAAGACTTTCATTTCTGATAGCCAGTATTGGGCAAGTTACTCTGAAAACGTAATCAAATTACTGATTACTGATTACTCCTTTTAAAAGTAATCAAGTTACTGTTCTGATTACTTTATTTCAAAAGTAATTAGTAATTAGTTACATTACCAGTTACGTTACTTTTTTCTACATTAAATTTATGAAATCCCAGCATACACGCTCCCGATTAATATTTGTTATTAAAGCATCAACATTCACAGAACACTGTTATTTTTAACTAAAGCAAGCGGCTGCTGCGTGCATGGTTCGGCATGGCAGAATGGCAGCAAAGAGCGCTGCATTTATAATCTCTAAAAGACATCTGAGAGGATTCATGAGCACGCAAATTTCAGCACTGCATTGCTCAACGCTGCAAACACGTGTTATAGCCTAAATAGAAACTCTGAATACGCTTGCACCTGTTAATCGTTTATATTTGATATTAGTTCATGTAGCTTTTGTGCAATAGATGAATAACAATTTATTTGTTTTAGATATTTTATGTTTAGATATTTCTATTTTGCGGGAGTCCCGTGAATCATTTTATTCTCCCGCATCCCGCACACACACACCAGTCTCTGCACTCACCTATCAAGTCTTGTCCCGCGCCGCTCTCTGTTGCGTCGGGTCTCGCGGGAGCAGGTTGACTCGACAGTGCGTGTGCTACATCCTTTTGACAATCTCCAGATTATAAAACACTGCATTCTGTCAGCAATGTAACGCGGCAGTAATGTATAGAGACCTCGGCTTGTAACTTTACTCTAATTACTATTTTGAAAATTATAACGCGTTAAATTACTCCGTTACTAAAAAAGTAATCAAATTACAGTAACGCGTTACTAAGTAATGCGTTACTGTCCAACACTGCTCACAGTTTGAGACATTGCAAGAATGAATCATAATAGCTCATTACTGCATTTTAGACCAGCGCAGGTCATGACCTTTGACATTTACCTCCTGCATGCACAGGATCAGGCTGCTTCCTCACGGGGATGAAGATCATGTGGAAAACGCTGCGTACATTGATGGCTATGAGGAAGACTATGATTGGGATGGAGAATATTACAAGCAAGATTCAACTGCCTACGATGAGTGCAGGTAAAAAGCTGAGAAAGGAAGAACACACAGCGTCTCCTCTGAGCTCAACACCTACAAGCACCCTGAGAGAAATTCTAGAGGAAGCTATTGTTATATTAAGCATAATTGATCCTTCAATATGCTCCGTCCTCCTTGGTTACAGTTGCTAGCTTTCTACAGAACATCCCATAGAAATGAACTCGAGATTTATGTGAACTTGTTCATATTCAGAAAAAAAGATGCCCATAAAGTGCTAAAAATGGATTAACTATTATTGTTGTTGTTATTTAATATTAAAAAATAATATTAAATATTATTGTTAAATATTAAATATGGAGCAATCATGGGTAATTTTACATGTTTAATTTGCAAACAGAAAAACATATTTCAAAGTATGAATGTCAAGATTTATTTAAAGATTTGGAAAAGAACATGCTGCTTAAATCCTCTGTGGGTACCCTGGGTTCTCCTACTATTGACCTGAAAACGAGATAACCATAATTTGATTTGTATAATTTATATATGATTCAGTTTAAAACCGATCTCGCAGCTCCTCAATATAATTATGTTTTCTTAACCTCATGTACTTTTCAAACAGGTTTTTTTTCCCACAAAAATTGTAAACATAAGCTTGATTGAAATTTCTGTAACTTAATAAATACTATTGAAATCATCTTTTTATGCAGTTTAATGCAAAATTCATTAATTTCTCACATTGCACTGAAGCTGTCTAAATTCGATATGGTGCAATATCAATCGAGTGGTTGTCACTGCATGCAAACTATATCAATATCATGCATTTGTACACAAGAAAAACAACAACAACAACAACAACTGCAAGCCAGGAGCTTTCATTCTCAAAAACATCATCAACAACAAAATGCTTGCTGATGATGAGAAAAATAACTTTGCTTTCTAAAAATAATTAACAGTGTAACAGATTGGATTACTTATATTAGGAGTAACATAATGTAAAACATTAATAATTTCCCCCAACATATATATATATATATATATATACTGCATTTGTTTTACTCCATTTCTTGTCTTCTACTCTAGATCTAAGAGGAAATCCAGCAGATCACCTTCCCCTCGGCCAAAGAAGAGGAAAAAGAAGAAGGCAAGAAGACACAGTCGGTCAGTTTGCTTTCTGTGATTTAATGCAGTGCAGCATCATGTTCTGAAAAGTCAGTATACTGTGCATAGGATGCATATGTTCTGTATGCAATGCATAGAATACCTAATAACCTACAACACCGACCGGACGAGCAGTATATAACAGAAACACTGTATCCAGCAATGCAGTGTGCTCAAATTAATCTGTAATTGCCAGTGTGATCTCTTACTTGACTCATTTTGAGTTTTTTGAGCCAAAAATTGAAATGTAATATTTAGAGGTTTGTTCAGATTACACAAATCCAATGTATAAGCAGTAGTACTAGTAATGCTTGACATACTTTATCAAGAAACAAAAATTCGAGAGTGAAAAAGGTCAAGAAGAACATTTAAATATAATTGAATGAAAAAATGTGACGGCATGTGTTTGTGTGATATTTCATTGTTGTTGTGTTTGTGTGACCCACAGAGCTGATAGCCCATCTCCAACCCGCAGAGACAAGAGGAAGAAAAGCGTAAAGAAGCACAAAAGAGACAGGTGTGTGTGTGTGTGTGTGTGTGTGTGTGTTTGTGTGTCAATCACACAGGTGTACATCATTTGCCGATCAATTAACACTGATTTCCCAGCCAGTATTTATTAGAGTATGCAAATTTTCGGTATTCATGCATGCCACACAAATACCATCATAACCTATACATTAGCCAAAATCTGCGTTATGCACAGAGCACATTGCATGAGATATTGTATCCCACGATGCAATGCACTAAATCTAAACTTCCATTTCTAATGAGACGAATAAACTGACCATGATTTTAACCTCTACTTTAAATATCTGTTTTTATATCTGTATTTTATCATATTGACCTGCTATTTGCTTAGCTTTCAAAGGTTTCACACACAAAACTGGATTAAAAATCAAAATAAAATTTCTGTTTCCGTGATGATGACTGTCTGGAAATTCTCCAAAATAAACCTGTAGCATACAATCTAAAAAATAATTCAGTGGCTATGTACTGTACTCTGAATATCACTTAAGTGAAGTTGAACATAGCAAAATAAATGCCTAAAAATCCAACAGGTGATTTTGTATAAAATTTGTGATTTGTATTCGAGTAACAAATTATATTTTTAAGATATACTTAATATTTTTATGCTTAATATGTTAAATATCAATCAGTATATTCAAGAATGGATTATGTTGATCAGTTTCAAGAACTAAAATTTTTACTCATTCTATATCAGTATTCTATATTTTAACAACAACTTACGAAATGAGTTGGAACTGGACACGATTAACAATCGCATGCAGACTTTTGTATTACATTCTGAGAACAGTCTCAGATTCTAATATTAACAGAAAATGGCTTGGGCAGATTTAAACTGTTCTTGTTAATATTTTATTATCAGCATTTGTATTTTGACCAGAAGCATCAAGGACTAGAGCAAACTCAACTCAATGTCCAAAAATAGCACCAGGCATGAACAAGAAAAGCCTGCTTTACACAAAGACCTTTCTGCATTCATCAAATATTCATGATATTGTTATGTCAGAAATATCGGCAGTATTTTGTGCCTTTACAGTCTTAAAAAATGTCCTTGTCTAAATGTTGATAAACGGACGTGTCAGCATTTTAGATGCTTTGGTTTCTTTCTATTATTGCACTTAATGTGTGTATATCCGTGTATCACTATGCAGGTTTCTTCCGAGTTTCCTCTTGTCATGACCTCTACTCTATTAAAATTCATAAGGTGTTTTTTTACATAGCAGTCTGTTTTGAAAATGCTATATGATTCTCTGTATAATATAGTGGTCTTAACATAGAGTTCCTGTAGAGCACAGTGCTAGCAATTCTAAGGTCATGCGTTTAATTCCCAAGGAACACAAACTGATAAAATATGAAGCTTGTATGTAATGCTAGTCACTGTGGATAAAAGCATCTGACGAATTAATAATTTATTCTGAATTTCCTGCCCACAGTCTGATAGAGTTTCATATGGCCTCTTAAGTGTTTATTCAGTTTTTACTTCATGTATTTTGGCTTGTGCCTCTAGTGTAAAGATATAAGAGATACATTTTTTTATTTATCTAATTTATTATATATATATATATATATATATATATACACTGCATTTGTTTTACTCCATTTCTTGTCTTCTACTCTAGATCTAAGAGGAAATCCAGCAGATCACCTTCCCCTCGGCCAAAGAAGAGGAAAAAGAAGAAGGCAAGAAGACACAGTCGGTCAGTTTGCTTTCTGTGATTTAATGCAGTGCAGCATCATGTTCTGAAAAGTCAGTATACTGTGCATAGGATGCATATGTTCTGTATGCAATGCATAGAATACCTAATAACCTACAACACCGACCGGACGAGCAGTATATAACAGAAACACTGTATCCAGCAATGCAGTGTGCTCAAATTAATCTGTAATTGCCAGTGTGATCTCTTACTTGACTCATTTTGAGTTTTTTGAGCCAAAAATTGAAATGTAATATTTAGAGGTTTGTTCAGATTACACAAATCCAATGTATAAGCAGTAGTACTAGTAATGCTTGACATACTTTATCAAGAAACAAAAATTCGAGAGTGAAAAAGGTCAAGAAGAACATTTAAATATAATTGAATGAAAAAATGTGACGGCATGTGTTTGTGTGATATTTCATTGTTGTTGTGTTTGTGTGACCCACAGAGCTGATAGCCCATCTCCAACCCGCAGAGACAAGAGGAAGAAAAGCGTAAAGAAGCACAAAAGAGACAGGTGTGTGTGTGTGTGTGTGTGTGTGTGTGTTTGTGTGTCAATCACACAGGTGTACATCATTTGCCGATCAATTAACACTGATTTCCCAGCCAGTATTTATTAGAGTATGCAAATTTTCGGTATTCATGCATGCCACACAAATACCATCATAACCTATACATTAGCCAAAATCTGCGTTATGCACAGAGCACATTGCATGAGATATTGTATCCCACGATGCAATGCACTAAATCTAAACTTCCATTTCTAATGAGACGAATAAACTGACCATGATTTTAACCTCTACTTTAAATATCTGTTTTTATATCTGTATTTTATCATATTGACCTGCTATTTGCTTAGCTTTCAAAGGTTTCACACACAAAACTGGATTAAAAATCAAAATAAAATTTCTGTTTCCGTGATGATGACTGTCTGGAAATTCTCCAAAATAAACCTGTAGCATACAATCTAAAAAATAATTCAGTGGCTATGTACTGTACTCTGAATATCACTTAAGTGAAGTTGAACATAGCAAAATAAATGCCTAAAAATCCAACAGGTGATTTTGTATAAAATTTGTGATTTGTATTCGAGTAACAAATTATATTTTTAAGATATACTTAATATTTTTATGCTTAATATGTTAAATATCAATCAGTATATTCAAGAATGGATTATGTTGATCAGTTTCAAGAACTAAAATTTTTACTCATTCTATATCAGTATTCTATATTTTAACAACAACTTACGAAATGAGTTGGAACTGGACACGATTAACAATCGCATGCAGACTTTTGTATTACATTCTGAGAACAGTCTCAGATTCTAATATTAACAGAAAATGGCTTGGGCAGATTTAAACTGTTCTTGTTAATATTTTATTATCAGCATTTGTATTTTGACCAGAAGCATCAAGGACTAGAGCAAACTCAACTCAATGTCCAAAAATAGCACCAGGCATGAACAAGAAAAGCCTGCTTTACACAAAGACCTTTCTGCATTCATCAAATATTCATGATATTGTTATGTCAGAAATATCGGCAGTATTTTGTGCCTTTACAGTCTTAAAAAATGTCCTTGTCTAAATGTTGATAAACGGACGTGTCAGCATTTTAGATGCTTTGGTTTCTTTCTATTATTGCACTTAATGTGTGTATATCCGTGTATCACTATGCAGGTTTCTTCCGAGTTTCCTCTTGTCATGACCTCTACTCTATTAAAATTCATAAGGTGTTTTTTTACATAGCAGTCTGTTTTGAAAATGCTATATGATTCTCTGTATAATATAGTGGTCTTAACATAGAGTTCCTGTAGAGCACAGTGCTTGCAATTCTAGAGGATATGTTGAAAAATAAAGTACAACTACAATGACGCATCATTTCTGTGCCTATAAGAGGTTTTAACCAGTGAAACCATCAGTATAACAGCTTGTGAAGAATGTGTCAGTTACGTGACATTTACCTTAGGAAGATAAAACCATCTAATCATATCGCCAAAATTACAAATACATTAGGCCTATACATTTGTGTAGAATATAAACAAGTTTTTATATCAACCATTTAAACGACTATTTCGAGCAATTTTCTTCTGCTCAACTTTAAAAGGATCTCTCCGCTTGGCTCCAGACACTTATAAATGGTGTGAACAACTTGGAATTTTACGCCGACCCCGCTACATACACCGTTCACGGAAGAAACTTCGGACTTATCACTGCTCGTCTTCAATTAGTATTCCGGTTATCTGTACCAACACCCGTGCTTTTAGGAAAACACAACAGGAAAATTGTGTAATCAACTTTGGAAATCTAAGACCATTACGCTTTGATCATGTCCTTGGAAACTGCAATATTGCATCTTCAGATATGCGATGTGCGCTATTGAACACTCGCTCTTTAACTGATAAAGCATCTGTGCTAAATGACATTATCATTGACGCAAACCTGGACGTGCTACTTTTGACGGAAACCTGGCAGGTGCCCAATGACTTTTTTAATTTAAACCTCTTAACACCACCTGGGTACATCTATTCTCACACATATATATGTATTTATAATGTGATTAACACGCTTGATACACACACCAACATGTTGTATATTCCTCCAATTCAATGCAGTCTTCTCTGAACAGCACAGTTCATTTTTTTTATTCATCTCACGTTACTCTGACAGCTTTATAACAGCTTTCTTCTCTCCTGCCTTTTTTTCTATATCAAGAAAACATGACGGGATCCGTCAGGGATGCTTGGGTGCATGTGTATCTGTTTGTGTCAGGTGTATATAATAGCGAACACACTACGGAAACATGCTGGATCATTGTGTCAATGTCTTATTACAGCAGCTTCAATACTGTCAGACTGTGTGTGAGGGGAAAAAGTGGGAAAGAGAGTTAGAAACTGAGCGCAGAAACAGAGTCAGTTTCTTCTGACCAATGTATTATTGAGCAAAGATGACCTACGAAGATCCGACTTCCGGTGTGAGAACGCAGGCGCGCTTGTGCAGCCGCTTCACGCTGGTACCTGTTTGTTTGTTTATTTGCTGATACGTTTTTGGATATGTTTCTGCTGGGATTCGACAGATCTGGATTACTTGGATTATTTTCTGGACTACTTTCTTCACTCAATAAGATTTGGATGACTGACCTGGCCTTTTTCGTGATCCTGTCACACTGATCGGCTGCGAGCCCTCTCCATTCCTTTCCATATCCTCCTCGACATCTGATACAGTGAGTCTCCACTCTCTTTGTCATTTTGTGGTGTCAATCCTCGGTATGGTCGGGTAGCCTTCCCTTCTGTGGATTGTGTGGATAGTGGATTCGATACGGTTCTGGCTAACGTAGTTAAACCGATTAAGTTGTTGTGTGGGCCCCATTGGCTTTTGGACATGTCGACGCGTAACCACTTGCAGGTTTTGTTCTTTGGTCTTTTTGTGCTGCTTTTGGCTGACGTTAATAAAGTGACTTCTCCTTCGTAATATACCATCTTTGTCTACATTCAAGACTCAGCTAAAAACGTATCTTTTTAATATGTATTTTGGATAATGTGGCCTTATGTGTTTTGTATTGTGTATATGGGTGTGCAAATGTTTTGTTTAGCACTATGTAAAGTGACCTTGAGCTATGGAAAGGCACTATATAAATAAAAAATAAACTACTTCTTCTTCTGACAGTATGGACTGAGCAGAGATGTTTGAAGGTTCTGTGTTAAATCACCTCAAAAAAAAAAAAGTTGCTAAAACAGATGTACATACAGTGACCCTCAAAAAATATATAGATATTTCAATCACATTTAAAAATGAATGTCATTGCATTAGATATAAAATATAATTTAAATGCCACATAATCTTTTCTCTTCACTAATGCCACTTTTCTTCATTATTTTTGCTCAGTGTCTTTTAATGCTGATGTTTCTTTGATTTTTAGTGGATGTCTAAAGTCAGTTCTCCTTGAATTATTAACGTGCCACAACACTAGATTTCAAACCAAACAAACGTATTTTTGTCAAATGTTTTGTTTGAAAAGCGTGATTGTGCATCTTTCTTAACTCTTTCCACGCCAGCAGTTTTATTCTAGCTTCATGCATTATTTTTTTATCAACACTTGAATGTGGGTTAGTTTAATGAAAGAAATCATGTTTTCGTCAAATACTACGTCCTGATAAGCACAGCCCTAAACCACTTCCTGGATCGACATTTCATGCGGTAATGTTAGGCAGTTTTGATTTATATGCTGTTTGATGTTTGATGATTGTGTTATTTCTTTATAAGATGATTGCTTCTTCTTTGCCTGTGTTTGATCCAAAGATTCAGTACTCTTTCAGAAGTTATTTAATAGTGCCTCCTACCTTATAACAGTGAAAACTCGTTATTTATTCCTTCTCTTTCTAGCTTGTACTTATTTGAACAATGTCTAGAAACTTGGTATTACAAGCACTTCCTGTATCTGTTTGCCTCTTTAAGAAGAATCGCTTTATGTATCCCCAAATTGTAAGTCGCTTTGGATAAAAGCGTCTGCAAAATGACTAAATGTAAATGTAAATGTGAAACCACAGAAAGCCGGGAAATTCCATCAATGACAGGGAAAGAGTTAACAATAAATGACTTTTGCTTTTGTATTCTGGTATCTAATGCATGACATTCAGACATTTAAAGGCACAATATGTAAGATTTTTTTATTAAAATATCCAAAAACCACTAGAACAGTGTTATATATTTTGCTGACTTGTGTACTTACATTATCCCAAATGTTTCGAAGAATGTTTAAATCCAGAGAAATAAGCCATTTTAACTAGTGACACGGAGCGTGTCCATAGTGTCATTGTGTCGCCTGCCAATGACATCATAACCCCTCGATTTCCGGTTTTGTTTTGTAGAAAACATGGAAACCCCGAAGACGCTTTAATATGTTGTGCGTTTTAATAGACCGGTGACGACCGCACAGAGTAGCATTGTAACAGAACTTTCAAATGTATCTAGAATGATAAAACAGCGCTGCTTTACCCCACATACGCACGACCGGAAGGAGCGGAAGCGCTCGACTGTGGCATAATAAAAGCTCCGCTGCTTTCGAGCCGTGTGTCGCGCTCGTTCAGCGGCCTCGTTTCGCTTCGACGGCTTTCAGCCTCACCCTGCTTCATTCTACTACGTTAATAAATCATTAGCTCATCCATGAACATGATTTCCGAGTCCCGTCGGATTGCATCGGCTGTGGGGATGAAGACCACAGCTCCCATGATTCCACACTCAGTCACAGCGTCATCAAACTACGCCTTTGTTTCTTTCTTTATTTTGAATACGCGCCCTCTAGTGGCGAAAAATTACATATTGTGCCTTTAAGCCTGACTTCAGGTTGAATGTTGAAGCTTAAAACTACAAAATCCACTGATGTAAACAGCAGCAGTTTTCTGGTGGTCATAATCTAATATCTAACCCAGCATTTCCTCTGTCTCAGGTCCACATCTGGCTCAAGGAGGAAGAGGAGACACAGGTAAACACTGATCTAATCCCAGATCTGTTAGATTTTATGGTCTGGGAACTGTGCTGGATTCATATAAATTTTGCAGAGCCAACATCCACTTCACAGTTTGTTCAAGAGCCATCCATTGACATATAAAGTGGCCAGCCACAGATTATTTTGCTTGTATGTGCTGTTTAGTGGCTGATAAATCAAAAATCGATGATACCGCAGTAGTAGACTGGCCTAGAAAACACTCGTTCAATAGCAGTCTGTCTCTTTGAATAGTTGTGCAAACAACACTGAAGAAAACAGCATAAAAGTAATAAGTATTGATCATTTCACAGACATCATTCAGAAAACAAGTCAGAATATGCAGTTCAGCTCATGGACGTCTACACTCTCAGAAAAAATGGTACAAAATGCTGTCACCTTTGAAAAAGGTACACCTTTGCACTTTATTTACCCCTAAAGAGTGCATATTAGTACTTTAAAAGCATATTAGTACCTAAATGGTACATTATAGTACCTTTTGAAAAGGTACTGCCCCGGTGACAACTTTAGTACCTTTTTTCTGAGATTGTAGTGTCTTGAACAAAACTGAGTATCAGAAGTGTTCACTGAAGCGGCTGTACCTTGTAAACTCAACATAATTTAACATAATTCTGTTTTGATTTTAAGACTTTACGCTTATTTAGTTAGATGATTTCCTATTTAGTTAGATGTGTTTGTTTTCTCCTTTCAGATCTGGGAGCCCCAAAAACAAACACAAAGACAAGAACAAACAGAAGAAGAGGTGAGGAATGTTTATTCTGCAGTTTGCTTCTAAAATGCTCAGAATTTTGCTTTCATGCATCTTAATGCCTCAGTCTGACAATAAAAATCCAATGCACTGATTACAGAGTTTAAGGATTGAATGATATTAATTTTCTAAGCAATCAGAGTTGTGATTTTTCACCTGGGATAGTAAGCAAGCACACAGCAACCATCTAGAATACCTTAGCAACTACCTAGCACTGACAACCACTTGAAACATTTTAGAAACCACATAGCAACACCCTGACAACCACCCACAACACCCTAGTAACCGTCTAGAACAACAAAGCAACCACCTAGCAATGCACTGACAACCATTTGAAACATTTTAGCAAATGCATAGCAACACCATAGCAACCACCCACAACGATCTTGTAACCATCTAGATCACAATAGAAACCACCTAGCAATGCACTGACAACCAGTCAAAATCAAATGCATAGCAACACCCAGACAACCACACAACACCATAGTAACCATCTAGAACACCCTGGAAACCACGTAGCAATGCTGTCAACTCAGATCTTTTTAGCAACCACATAGCAACACCCGGCAATCACCGACAACACTCTAGTAATCATGTTATATGCCATAGAAACCATCTAGTAATGCACTGATGGCCACTCAGAACATTTTAGCAAATGCATAGCAACACCCCAGCAACTGCCCACAACACTATCCACCTAGCAATGCACTGACAACCAGTCTAAACATTTTAGCAATCACTTAGTAAAACCCTGACAACTGCTAGCAACACCCTAGTAACCATTTAAAACTCCCCAGCAACCTCCTGGCAATGCCTTGGCAATAGAAACCACCTAGCAATGCACTGACAACCAGTCAAAATCAAATGCATAGCAACACCCAGACAACCACACAACACCATAGTAACCATCTAGAACACCCTGGAAACCACGTAGCAATGCTGTCAACTCAGATCTTTTTAGCAACCACATAGCAACACCCGGCAATCACCGACAACACTCTAGTAATCATGTTATATGCCATAGAAACCATCTAGTAATGCACTGATGGCCACTCAGAACATTTTAGCAACCACATGGCAACACCCCAACAACTACCAAAAGAAACTGTCTAAAACACCATAGTAACCACCTAGCAATGCCTTGACAACCACTCAGAACTTTTTAGCAACTGCAGAGCAACTGCATAGCAACACCCTACTTAAATTACTGGTAGGTTTATTATTTTATATTAATTACTTGTCTTTTGTTGTTATTTTATTAGTTTGTACTGAATGATTGATTGATTACTTAAAACAATGTTTCAAGTTATTAATCGCTTAATGCCATTTTGATGTAATATTTTATCAACTTTGTATAGCCTATACATTTATATAAAATAAGCAAAAGCAACATTTATAATGCTTTTGCTGTTGTCCAATAAAAAACCCAGGCACACGTACCTCTACAAGATGCGTTTAATCAGGGAAATATCTGTTGTGTACAAACATCGGATAAACATCTTTTAAAAGCAGTTTTGCATACATTCTAAATCCTAAACATCTTAAAGACATCTTGTAAATGTCTATATGACATCTGATAGGAAACATCTTGACGTATAGCAGATGAGCAAACACTATAAAAAAATACATCATGCAAATGTAAATGCAGGCATCAAATTGATGTCTCCGTGATGTATGTGTGCTATCAGGGAGCCGTTATTTGTATGTATTTATTTATTTTCTGTTTTGTTATTTCATAAAAAAATAAGAAGAAATGTCCATGTAGGCCGTATGCATGGATTGTTTATGAAAGGAATGAATGGGAATGATGAAACGGACTGTGAGGTGTATGATGAAGCAGTGTGGGTGGAGTGTGTGAGTGTGGAGTGACGTGTGTTTGTGTGTGTGTGTCCCGCAGGTGTTCAGTGGAGTCTCCCAGCAGGAGTTCTCAGCACAGAGGCAGCTGCTGTAGTTCCCGCAGCGGATCCGTCTCCTCCACCGCCAGCGTCTCCAAATCACCCAGCAGGTGCGTCTTATATTCGGCCTCTTATCTCCATTTCACAGGCCCTCCGACAAACCTCCTCTAACAAACATTTACCATGGTGAACATAGTTTCTGCCAAAATACCATAGTTACTACAATAAGACTGTGGTAATGTGGTATTAGTCACCACTGTCATCACAGAAAGGGAATGAATCACAATGACAGAAAGACAGAAAAGCTTCTTACTCCGTTTGAAGGAGATCCTTAGTAATTTATGATGACTTTACTGCAGTAACTATGGCATTTTTTTCCATTAACATGGTTAAATTGTGTAATGACATACACTACATTTGACTATTTCGAAGCTCAAGGCTGCATTTATTTGATCAAAAATACAGTAATGTTGTGAAATATTATTACAGTTTCAAATAACTGCTTTTTATTTGAACATATTTTAAAATATAATTTATTTCTGTGATCAAAGCTGTATTTTCAGCATCATTACTCCAGTCTTCAGTGTCACATGATCTTCAGAAATCATTCTAATATGCTGATTTGCTGCTCAAGAAACATTTCTGATTATTATCAATGTTGAAAACAGTTGTGCTGCTTCATATTTTTGTTGAAACCAGGATACATTTTATTTTTTCAGGATTCTTTGATGAATAGAAAGTTCAGAACAACAGCATTTTTAAAAATGGATATATTGTGTAACATTATGCATTCACTATCAATTTGTTGTGTGCTTGCTGAATAAAAGTATTCATTTCGAAAATTCATTTCTAATGTGATTTCCAAAATAATTTCCCCCCTGCAGTCAATATACATTTTTTAAAGTAATTTTTTTAGTATTAGAGCAACTGCAATATCTATAAATTCAGTTTTAAAAATCTGCATTGGTTCAAATCCCAAATTGATAAAACATTTTCAAAATCCAAATTGATCAAATTTTAAACTCTATTATTTCCAAATGTTAAACATTTAAACAACCTGCAGTATGATAAGCAACATAAAAAAAATAATAGTAAAAAAGATCAAAATAATAGCATTTCACGTCAAAACAGTTGCCAATCCCTGGATAGTTTATTATACGTGATACACGACGAATACACTGCAAAAAAATATAGTCTTACTCAGTATTTTTAACTATCTAAACATTCTTAACATACTCTCTTGAGAAGCAAAATTATTTAAGGTATAAAGTCTTATCTTGTTTTCTGAAATTATGAAAATTAAGTGAGTTTATACTTAAAACAAGAAAAATATCAGCCAGTGGGTTCAGAAAAATCTACTTAATTCAAAGGGGAAACAAGTTTTATTTTTCTTACCCCATTGGCATGAAGCCACTTAATTTGAATAAAGCTTTCAGAAAGCAATACTTTATATGTTATGTCATTTTGCTTATCAAGCAAATGCATCTTCATTTAAGAATGTGTAAATATTTTACTGAAAAATAAGACAAAAATAGTATACTAAGTAAATTATTTTCAGCAGTGCACTGCCATTGTACTTGTGAGTGAAGCGCTAAACTCAACCCATTTCAATCTGACCTCTCAAACCAGATCAAATGCAAAGTGCAGGAACGATTGGCACAAACAGGAAGGAAGTCACTCCAGCCACAGCCCACCGCCGCCCCTCAGCGCTGACCAGCCAATCACGTGGCACAATGGCAACCATAGCGTCCGTGTCCGCAACGGCAAAGATTCGGGAGCCAATCACATGGAGGGGAATAAAGGGAACGATGTATGTAGTCTCCTCTACTTTAACTCCATCTGTTCTCTGCCGTTTACACTACTAATCCCACACACACACACACACACACACACCACGTTCAACTGATTCAGTCATATCTGTGTGAGCTGACTCTAAATATCTCTTTTCCCTCTTTGGCTCCATTCCGTGAGTTTTTCTGTTCTCAAGCCATTTTTGTGTTTGTTGGGAAGGGGTTTTGTTTTGTCGAAACAGATGTCCATCATTTTCCTTCCGTAATAATGTCATGCTTTATTTCACGTACAAGCCATGTTGACTTTTTCAGTTCTAGAAAGAGAAGGAATGGAAAAGCTGAGGACATGTTTAAAAGGTTTTTTTTTTTTACAGTGGAAACTAAAATGCAACCAATTGTTGAATATGTCCATCCCAAAGACAAACTGATGGTTGTGGCATCTTGCGACATGCAGTACTATTATTTTACATAATAATATACTAATTCAGTGGCTAGTGTTGGATAACGTCCCATGAAGGAAACATTCCATGCCTCAACCAGATTAATTATAGATATTTTGGTAACACTTTTGCTTCATTTGTTAACATTAGTTAACTAAATTAGTTAACATGAACTAACAATGAACAATGTAAATGGGTGCCATCAGAATGAGAGTCCAAACAGCTGATAAAAACATCACAATAATCCACAAGTAATCCACACCACTCCAGTCAATCAGTGAATGTCTTGTGAAGCCAAAAGCTGCGTGTTTGTAAAAAACAAATCCATCATTAAGATGTTTTTAACTTCAAACCGTTGCTTCTGGCTAAAATACAAATCCATAATCCATAATAACGCTTCCTCCATTGAAACAGTCCATCTTCTGTTGTCTCTCACATCAAAATCCACCCACATATTTGTTCAGAGCTGTTTTGGACTGTTTTTGGCTTGTAAACGGTGCTTGATCTGTGCAGATTTCTCTCCTGATTCAGATTAGATGACTTTTGACTGGAGAAAGCTATATTATGGAGAGAGGACTTGTATTTTAGCCAGAAGCAACGGTTCAAAGTTAAAAACATCTTAATGATGGATTTGTTTCTTACAAACATGCAGCTTTTGGCTTCTCAAGACATTCACTGATGGACTGGAGTGGTGTGGATTACTTGTGGATTATTGTGATGTTTTTATCAGCTGTTTGGACTCTCATTCTGACGGCACCCATTCACTGCAGAGGATCCATTGCTGAGCAAGTGATGCAATGCTACATTTCTCCAAATCTGATGAAGAAACTAATGATGAAGAATCTACATCTTGGATGGCCTGAGGGTGAGTATATTTTCATTCATGGGTGAACTATTCCTTTAAGGCATTGTGAACTAACATGAACAAACAAGTAATGATTGTATTTCTATTAACTAACATTAACAAAATATTAATAAATGTTCATTGTTAGTTCATGCAACTAATGCTAACGAATGAGGCCTTATTGTAAAGTGTTACTGCTATTTTTAAAATCAGTCTGAACTTCAGATATAAATCATATAAAAACGCTTTTTGTTTTGTAGCTTTTTGCTTATCTTGTACATTTTATTGTATACCACAAAATGTCAGAGCAGTATATTAAAAAGACAGTGAGGAGGAATGAATTGCGGCAATCATCTTTTATATAGTAATAGTGCCACATTAATTGAATTTATGCCCAAAAGAATGACGACATATGACATATTTTGATTGTTAAATGATTATTTATCTAATCTTTGACCTGCGTTTGGAGAGACTCTTGTTCAGATATCTGGTCACACTTACTATATCTGGGACGGTTTGCATGCAGTTTTTCAGAAGTTCTCATGCTCTCTCTCTCTTTCCTTTCATTTGCTCAATTCATCCCTCTGTTTTGTTGATTTCTTGACCTCTGTGAATTCACATGATCTTTTCCCACAAATAAATGCCCAAACTTTTCTGTCTTGTTTGTGTAAAAAGCACTCATATGATTTGGAACTGGACCGAGTAGATTAAATGGGTATGTCTACTAGATTTTCTTGTCAATACAGTTGAAACTCTCATTTTCTGCTCAGTTTTACCGTAGCCACCCTTTTCCAGATGTGTATCAGGTGTTTAAAGAGCCGATGATCTGTGACCTGCAATCAGATCGTCCCATATTATTGATAATTTCTTTAATGTAAGGTGAAGAACTATTAATCAAGAGAGGTGTCATCAGACGCTTTTAGCCAATCAGCCGTCATTCCTGGTTCTGCTGAGAGGATGAATGAGTCTGAATGTTACAATCACAGATAAGAAATATGTGGATGCTGCATTTGGCGGATCAGGATTCATCATTAGCACTGCCATCTTGGAAAGGTCAATGGATTTAAATATTATATTGTCCTTTATAAATAGTTTATCGTATTCTTCAGTTTATGGAGTGTGTTTCAGATTAGGAATTTTGATTGAATTTATTTTAGTTTAACAAACAGGTAGCTAAGTATTTTAGACACAATGTTGACTGTTCTATTTCACCAAAGAAAATAGTTCCAAACAACGATCAGAACAGAAGTATTGCGCATTCTCCGAGCAACACTCTGCATTTTTGTTACTGAATGATTCTGCCAACTCTCTCGAGACAGATAAGCAACATGCACATTTAAGTATGTAAAAGCTGATAGAACACTGATGAAAAAATTGATGATATTTTGGTTTCTTTTTTACATTAAACACCTTAAAGGTGCTGTATGTAGGATTGACACCGAGTGGTTGAACTAGGTATTGCAGTCCAAATTCAAAATATTGGAGAGGGTTTTTTTCACCCGGCCCCTCCTCCTAAGACTTGACTCACACGCAGGTTGCCAGATTGACACCAACAGCAACGAGCGCACTTGACGATGAATGAAATGAAATACGCTGTGTTTTCCGCCAACTGGCAACCCGGGGTGCCGAAATACAATTGGGTAAACTGGCAGTGGGCGGGTTTCACAAACCAAAACATTTCATTCCATTTTCAAAGCAGAATAACTGACTGTAGCATTGTTTTTCAGATAAACTAGCATGTTTCTTAAATATCTGCAAACATATTATGGAATTTGTATGCTTTAGTAGAGTCAAAAACTTACATACAGCACCTTTAAATATTACATATACGTATGTAACATAATGTGTATTTCCATCACAGGTTTGCTCTTAAATTTCACATAAGGTGGTATTAAAAAGGTCCTAAAAAGGCTTAAATTTAACTTGCTCATATCTGTAGACACCCTGAAATATAGTAATATATGTTTTGTTAAAACATAATATATTTGTTCATTTTATTTATTTATGACCCTGTAACTTTAAGCAGTCCGAGCTCAATGATAACTATATAATTTATAAGAGTGTTTTACCAATACTCGTCTGCAATAAGCAGAATTGTATGGCGATTCATAACTTATTATTTAGATTCGTTTATTCATATTGACCTTTCCAATATGGTGGAAATGCTGATGCATTGTGGTCATTAGAACGATTGCTAATTTGATAATGCTTTTAAATACCAATAAGAGTGTAATCCTGCAACATTACCCCCCCCCCTCCAAATTTCCTCCAAAATCAACATAGAAAATGCAAAAACATAAAAGAAAATGGGCCTGTTAATACTGCATCTGTATCTGTGGTCACAACAGGCTACAGATTCATGAATTCCCTCTTGGGTAACGGCTGACAAATCTCCACAGACAAGAGCCGGTTCAATGCCATTGGTGATTTCAGACGGTTTTCATACATTGGTTTCTAATGCTCACTTTTCACTTGCACTTGATATATAAATATACATTCTTATAGTGTAACTAGGTGTTTGTTTCCTTCCTGTCAACATTTGAGTGGTGTAATGTACGTCTAGATGTTTGACAGGGACAAACGGATGCTCTGTAAACATTAGCCAACAGCAAACTACGCTAACTAGGGTCATTTGGTAAAGTTGTTACACTAAAAGGGACCCAAGCCATTTGGATTCTCTTCCTAAGCGAATGTGGCATCTTTGCATCCTTTGTTGAAAGACTTTTGACAATTGCTGAGAGCAAAACTCTACTTTTAGATTTAGCAACTGCCGAGCACTAAATTCTCATTGCGCAGACCAATTGATAACGATACGGCTTAATGAACGTGACTGGGGTCCCTTTGAGATGTTAGTCGTCCATCCTAGAAGTGACCGCCCTCCACCCAACACCCCTCTCCCTTCACCCGTTCATCTGTGCTGTCAGTTGTCCCGCCATGCTTTCTCTTTTCCCATTAAACCACATTGCGCATGCATGGCCATCGATATTTACTTTCCTTCTAGCAAATTGGATTTGTTGAGATTTTGTCGCACCCTAACGCTCCTTAACGTACGGTAGAATGTGGCTGCACATGTGTCCAAGCGAAAAAGACAGCAATTCATGTAGATTGCTTTGGGGGTTTCTTATTTCTGATTCATTTTGTTTGGGTTCTTTGTCGTTTTTGATTTTTCCTTTTGTATGTCCACTCTTTTGTTTTGCTTCGTTTCGTTGGAATTGTCTCCTTTAGTCTGTGGATCAATTATCTTAGCCTGGATACTAAAAGAATTCATTGTCTTTTTCCCATTTGGCTGCAGAGAATTTTCCTTTCTCCTTTTTGTTTTTCCTTTTTCTTCCTTTGTTTTGTTGATATTGCATACGTGTCACTGATTGAAGCGGAAGGTAGGTAATGCTCTGCCTACGCACGTGGAGAATGTGACAAGCACCCTAGCTTGACATCAGTGTCTCTCTCTCTTTTTCTCTGTTTATCTGAGGAAAACCAAAGGTTGGCGGGTTGTTTTTCATTGTTTTCCTTTTAGAACTGTTTGCTCTATTTTCATTCTTTTTTCTTTCGATCTGAAATCTACCTTTGCTTTCATGCTTCAGTCTTCAGTACACTGCCCTCCCCACAGGTCCATCTCTTGTCTGCGTTTTATTTGATTTTTCTTATTATTTTTCGGTATAATGCATTTCCTGTCTGTGCCGCATTCCTTTTGTCTTTGGTGAAATGGTACATGTCTTATGATTTGATCACTTTCCCTCCTTTTTATTTTTGGGATACACAAGGGCTGTTTCTGAAGTATCTGGGGTTTACGTTCAGCTGTGTTATTTTTTTATATACATATATATATATGATATTATTAGTTGTTTTTTGTGTGTTTGAGGTCGATCAGAAATCCTTGCCTTCCAATGGTAATAAAAAAGAAACAGATGAATAGTTTAACACATTGACATTGCTTTGCTCCGTATAATATTTTAGCCTCAATTTTCAATTCTGCTGCTAAAGATGATTGGTTTCAAGTTTAATTTATTTATAAAGCACATATAAAACAACCTTGGTTGACCAAAGTGCTGTACTAAATTGCGTAGGTCCATAACCCAAATTAAAATGAAAAAACATTCACAAGACGTTGAAAGCACAAGAATACAGATAGGTTTTTAAAGACACTGTTGACACTGTAGTCGCTGTTCGGATAGATAATGGCAATTGTTCCATAAATTGGTCTCAGCTGTGAAGTCTTTTTTAAAAACCGCATGAAATCCAAATGAAAGTTTTGTGAATTGTGAATTTGAGCTGATCCATACACTGAAAACAATTTGGTGTATAAACAATTTTCACTCGGATATTGCTAGTAAATTTCACAACCAGCAGGTAACATATTAAATTGAATGTAAAATTTTGATCAGATCATATTACACCCCAAAATCAAAAAGAAAAAGCGGTAACACTTTACTTGAAGGGGTGTGCATTAGACTGACATGACACCTTCATAATCATGACATGACACATGTCATGAATATGAAGGAGGTTTTATGCATGTTTATGACAACTGTCATT